TACAAAAAATAATTGCACTCAGAGTATTATTAGGATTTACGAGACGCTGTGTAACAAAATCAATGTGGTGAGGGTGTTGGGACAAAAGTGGTTTTACCGTCAACGTTCACTGGGGGGCTTCGATATATGAGTGAAAGATATCACGACAGCATAGCAATTGTGAGGCGATTCGGAAAACCGGATTTCTTCATCACTATGACGTGCAACAGTAACTGACCGGACATCAAACGAGCCCTATTGTCAGATCAATGTCCTAACGACATGCCGACTCTTCTAACTCGAGTGTTCAAAGGTTATCTTGCACAACTGATTAATAAGATAAAGAACAAACGGGTCTTTGGTAGGGTGAGTGGAATGTTGTATGTGATGGAGTTTAAAAAAAAAGGTTTACCACACGCACATATATTGGTTATTCTGCATCCGGATGATAAAATTCGGGGTGCGGATGTTGTTGACAATGTGGTGTGTGCCGAGATTCCTCCGGAAGGGGAATTGAGAGAAAGGGTAGCCAAGTTCATGTTGCACGGGATTTGCAGTGTGGAGAAACGCGACGCTTCGTGTACGGAGGACGGAGAATGCACAAAAGGATTTTCGAAAGATTTCATTTCAACAACAACATTCAAAGACGAACAAACGTACCCTTCGTATAGGAGAAGGAAACCAAGTGACGGTGGTTTTACAATTGTTCAAAATTGTGTTGTTTACGACAATCGGCATGTGGTCCCGTATAACCCGTACTTACTAATAAGGTTTAATTGTCACTTGAATGTTGAATATTGTGTTAACATCAAGGCGTGCAAGTACGTGTATAAGTACGTGTACAAAGGGTGTCATCGTACTATGGTTTGTGAGCAAGATAATAATGCGCCCATCGACGAGGTCAAATTGTATCAAGATACACGTGTTGTAGGTACATGTGAAGCATGGTGACGTCTATTTGAGTTCGACGTTGCAGAACAATGGTCCGCAATTGAAAGATTGTCCGTGCATCTCGAAAACATGCAAAAAGTGCAATTTGAACCTGGGACTGAGCATGACATTGTTTCAAATGGGCCTCCGAAAACGAAATTGATGGCATGGATGAAACACAACTCTTTGAACGAATGCATTCCTAAAGAGGAGTTTCCTTTTCACGCAAAAATCGGTAATACTCATGTTTATGTGGGATAACAAACATAAGAAGTGAAACTGGAGTAAGCGTGACCTTCACGGTAGTCCCTTCGAAAAGATAGATCGGTTGCATCACGTAAGGATCACGGAAGGGGAACGATTCTATCTGCACGTGTTTCTAAACCATGAACATTCTCATGGGGTGCGCTCTTTTGACGAAATGCGTACGGTGGACGGAGTCGAATATGATTTTTTCCGATCCATGTGTCTTCGATTCAGCCTTTTGCAAACAGACGATGCATACGATCAATGCATAGACACAGCCGCTGTGCATTACATGCCTGAAGAAGTTTGTAAAATATTTGTTATGATTCTTACGTTTGACCCGGTGAATAATCCGGTCAGTTTCTTCGAACGACATTTGGGATAAGACGTGTGACAATTTTCAGTATCGTGCAGACAATGAAATTGTTCTGCCGAATATTTTGCAATCGTTAGTGTTATTCCATATTGACCGTATTTTGCAAGAGTCTGGAAAAAATATCCGTCAGTTCAGCCTTTATTATCCAACACCTGATGGGGAAACGATTGCTGATAACATAACCAGACATTACGAGAACAAAATTGTATCCTCGATTCTAAACGACGAGTTGTTGTATGATCCAATTCAAATGCAACGCAAATATAGCTATAATTTTCGACGTCTTCGTCCACGCCAACGAGTGTTGGTGGAAAGAGTCGTTCAGGTTGTGCAAGAGAAACGACCGTTGCGTGCTTTTCTCGATGCACCGGATGGAACAAAATTTTTTTTTTGCATTGAAATGATTTTGGGGAGCACCAGGGCGCGTTCTGCCATTGCACTGGCCGTCAAGTCCAGTGACATAGCGGCGATTCTTTTGACGGGGGGTCGAATGTTTCACTTACGATTTCGCGCACCTTTGAAACTTGATAACACGCTGTCGCGCGTGGCGGTCCCGCGCCCTGATGGGGAGCGCTGAACCTCACGGTCGTGTCACGCAGGATGTTTTGTTCGAAAAGAACCAGTCACCACTCCGACCGTGCGAGCGTGCTATACCTCTCACGATGCCCTGCGAAAGGTCGGGACGTCGTGAGGAACAACTTACCTCTACCCAAGGGGTTGTCACCACCCTTAGGTAGGCGTATCCCTGCTGAGTTACCGACCCACATGCGAAGGCTTTTACATGCCTTTGTACAGGTAGGTCGACCGAGGGCGTTTGCTCGATCGTTGTAGCATAAAATGGGGTACGCGCGGTAAGACGCCTAGAACTGACCCGTTAGATATCCAGGTCGAACTTTGAGATGGTCGTCTATTTCCGCTTCTGCTCCCAAAACATATTCTCCTTCTGACCACTATGATCAAAGTATCAAACAACCCTGTCACTACCGAGGGCATTCTATTCTACTTAACATATGACTGAACGTCAAATAACATAAAAGTTATATAAGATTGATAATGAATATGGAGGTATTATTGCGGAGAACCCTTTCCACTTTCACAAGTGTAATGTGTTCAGGATTCTTCAACAGATCAGGTCGAGTTCAATTCAAGTCCACGAACAAAACAGACTTGTACATAATAATGCAAAGACAATCCCCATGCCGTGCACTAACGGCGTCAACCATCAACCATTGACATTGTCCCTCACTCCCCAAACCATGTATGACAACTCTATATTTTCTGAGACGTAAGCCTAGCCCCCTCACATTTCTTCAAAGGACCCTTGAGAGTGACCAGGACCATTTAGGCAATGACCACAGGTGACAATTTTACTGACCACAGGGTTTGACTTTAGAAGTGGGTATCAAGTCAAAGGGGGAAAAGTTGAATTGGCAACGACCAACCTGTTATCGAGAGATAATAGAAAATTTGAGTCCTCTTTGTAGGACTTCTCCTTCAATTGTTGTAGATCAAAATAGGGACCTGCACACACACAAGTCAACAAAGATTCAACACTCCCACCCGATTTCCGACATATTGATATCTAAGGGTCAAACCCTTAGATCTTGTCTGTAAGCTTTTTGGGATCAACATCCCAAAGTCTAATCCCTACTTTCTATCTACCCTAAGTCGTTTGTCACCCCTTCTCCTTTCATTTCAAGGAGTCTCTTTGCCGATGTCCTAAGTTGTCTCAGGGAAACTCACATTTCCCCTACTCTTAGTCCTTGCATTTTCTCTCTTGTGGATAAGCACACCCTCTGGTGCTTATGCGTTAGTCTGGCCGAGATCAACTCAAGCCAGTGGCGGTTTCTCCAGTGAGCTGTGGCTACACGGGGTGTCTTCTTTTCTAATTCTTTGTCTCTGCGGTGTTCGCCTTTCATTCTGCTTTTCTTATGTCTTTGAGAGTCGCTCCCGCCGGAGCACTCCATTTTTCCTTTCTCTTCTTCTTGTTCTGACATACTCAAGTAGTAGGTTGATTCACCAGGGAATCTTCCACTACTTGATCAATTCCAGACATAACTGTTCGTCAAAGGAGTAGTCTAGTAGACCCACGAGAGCACTCAACCATCCTTCAATACCCATTCGATCCTCATGCAACCAAGCAGTTCATGCAATCCAGTGCAAGCGATCGGATAACTCACCCGGGAGTATCATTTTATTAGTCAAGCAGGTAGTTAGGATGCCTGTGTTGAACCATCTCAACACTCGACCCATCATTCAGAAAGACATTCTAGATCCAGGTGTCACTACAAAATTCAAGTTAGTAATAGGTGGTCTTAACGGAAGCCTCCTATCACTCTTTGGTCAGAGCTCAGTCTATCCTCAAAAAGGTGTAATAAGATAACATCACACAAGTCACCCTACTACTTCCTCAGAGTCAGACGAGCTAAGATTACGTTTGCGGACGCGAGGCTCTAAGAAGTTTGCCTTATCGTCGTAATATCAATATATAATAGGTGATAAGAGGAGCGAGGCTCCCAGAAGCCTGCCTTATCACCGTAATAATATATACTAGGCGATAAGAGGAGTGAGGCTCTAAAAAGTCTGCCTTATCGTCGTGATAACGATATATTA